CTGTGGAATCTGTGTATGGATGAACTGTTATGGACCCTGAAAGCAAGAGGTGTCAAGGTTGCGGCTTTTGCCGATGACCTGACACTCTTGATTGAGGCGGGAACAAGGAATGAGTTGAAAAACCGAGTGAATGACTTTATGAAAGATGTATATGTATGGGGAGAAAAGTATGGTGTGAATGTGTCGGATGAGAAAATCACAGTGATGATGCTGAAGGGAAACCTCGACTTTGGCAGAGATCCGGTGGTCAGAGTGAAAGTGAATGAAGGAGGGAATGAAGAAGTGAAGGCATTGAGGGTCGTGGATACGGTGAAGTTGCTTGGGATTTGTATGAGTGAGGGTATGAATGTGAGGCCGCACCTTGATGGGCTGCAGCCAAAACTACAGCTCGCTGTAGTGGGAATGAGAAGAGTGCTGCGGAAAAATTGGGGGGTGAAAAGGCATGTATGGAAGATTTGGATGAAGGGACTGTTTGAGGCTATTGTGATGTATGGTGCGAGTGTATGGGGGGATCTATTAAAGTATAAGTATGCGTGTGATGAGTTAATTAGGTGCCAGAGAATAGTGTTGTATGCGTGTCTGAGAGTGTGCAGGACGTTTCCACCTCCGCTATGCAGGTATTGGCAGGAACCCCTCCGTGGGACCTTGTTTGCAGGCGGAGAAGGATATTGTACAGAGTGAAAAAAGGAGTGCCGATGGATGAAGTGGATTTAGTTACGGAAGAGCAGAGAGTGAATGAGAGTATGAGTGACATAACGAAGGCGTGTGAGAATAAGTTGATGAAGGAATGGCAGGATAGATGGGATCGGGAGGGAAAAGGTAGGGTAACGTATGAGTTTATTAAGGATGTCAGTGTGGTTGGTAGGTGCAAGAGATTTGAGTTTGGTCTAAATGTGGGGTATATCTTGACAGGACACGGGAGTATGAATGGATGGCTGTATGGTAAAGGGTTAAGTGAAACAGCTATATGTGTATGCGAGCAGGCGGAAGAAGATTGGATACATGTGTTGTGTAAATGTGAGTTGTATGAGGGATTCAGGAATCTAGAGTTGATGGGGGTTGAAGAAGTAAGGGAAGAAGATGGACGAATAAAGTATGATGTGAGCGGAGTCTTGGCTAGTGAGGAGTCTTATAGATTGTTTGGTCAATTTGTGTGCCGCGCGTTCAACATGCGTGCGAGTGTGATCGAGAGAATGCAAAGACGGTGAATGTTAAGTGTTGGATGGATGTTTCTTAAAGTGTATGCATGAAATGGCGTGTGAATGAATTGAGGAGTTATACGCAGGGGGGTGTCCTTGGACACCTTCGGGTCTGGCGGTCCCGCGCACCCGAGCTGGCTCACCAGGTGCCGGGAAGACAAGTCCCCAAACCTGGAAGAGGCCCTTTGGGGTCTCGAACGCCAACCGGGCGCTAAACGGTACCGCGGGGTCGGGAAGCCCCCACGGAGGTAAAACTCCGTGGCCCCGACACTGGGAACGGACTCGCGGGGGCAGTGGTTACCACCCTACATCGCTTGGGGTAGTGGACGGGTTGGGTGAAGGAGCTGTGAGCGTAACAGCTCTAAGCAGCTCTGGATCCGTTACCTGTCCACGACGTGTGAGTTGCGGCCTAAATTCGGGCGCCGGCCTGCATAGCCGGTAGGGTAGAATAGGCCCCGCCCCCCACCGAGGGGCCCACTGGAAGCTTGTCCCTTCCAGTGGGAATTCGGTAGTCGAGGGTGACTGGGTCGTCGGGTTTCTGGGAGATTTCGATCTCTCGGCAAACCGGCGGCAGAGTCAGTCCCGACGCGCTGGCTGGGCGTATCCCAGCCCCTTTGTCCAAGGGGACCGTGTGGATAGACCGAAAGGTAAGAGCCGCACGAAAAATCACGACTTTCATATGTCCCTATCCACTATTCAGCGAAATGGCTGTCAAGGGGACCTGTCGCTGCTGCGAACACCTTGTGTGGGGGCAATCTGGGTTCTCCAGACCAGTAGCAATGAGAACACCCGAAAGCCATAAGTGCCGATGTCGCTGGGTCCCCGAAGCTTAATTCGTTAAGCGCCCGCTGAATGTCAACGGACTACCGGAGGATCGAAAAGTACACTTGGTACTTTGAGACACCCAGTAGGACGGCTAAAATGGCAAGGCTATCAGGCGCAGTTGGAGGAACTTTAACGAACCGAAAGGGAGGAGACCGTTAAAAATTTCGCCTCGCATGAGCCACTGCGCCTCTTTGGGATTTGAGTTCCAACCTACTCGGCAGGTCACTCAAAGTAGTCGTTCTGAAGAGAGGAGAATGCGGGGTCATTAGATTCCAAGATACTCTTCTCGACAGCAGTGTCCTAAGGCCACTGAATTCGACGGGATCCATGGTGTCAGGACGAGTTTCGAGCCCACCCATGATTTGAGAAAGCAGTTCATATTGGTCGTGCACCTCTTCGTTGTGCAGTAAGCACGTAAGACCGGTGTAAAGAGCACGCAGGCTAGAACAAGGAATGATCCTAGGGCGAACGGACTGCAGGTCCTGTTGTGCTCTGTTCGAATAGCCGCGGCGCAGAGCAGCGGCGGGGCAACTGTGGACCAAGTAGCCCTTGGAGCGTTCTTAATGCCGGAACAAATCAATGGAGGGGAAATCGAGAGATGACTAATAGTCTAGCGAAGGACAAAGCACTCAGGAAACCCCGCAGATCTTTGCTCCTGTACAAATTTGCGCCACCAGCGGGAGGAAGGAACGGCGACCGTTTCTAAACCGCTAGAAGGATCAAGAGCGGCCGGTGGTGCGAAGCTACCATCCGTGGGATTATGCCTGAACGCCTCTAAGGCCGTATCTTTTCTAGTCAAAGGTGGCAACGATATCTCTAGGAGTCTCGTGAGTCGGCAGGCTCAAAACAATGTGACACTACTAGGTGGTCGGTCCTCGTGGCCGATCATCGCACTCGCCTTAATTGCCGCATGGGGCCGCGGATCCGACCTCGGGATCTCACCGGGCGTCGGCCAGGCCTCTAGCGGTCGATCATGGGTTTATCCAATAGTTCGATGTCGAGACTCGGAATCGTCTGTAGACGACTTAGGTACCTGGCGGGGTGTTGTACTCGGTAGAGCAGTTACCACGCTGCGATCTGTTGAGACTCAGCCCTTGGCTTGGGGATTCGTCTTGTCGGAAAGACGAGGCTCAGCCTGCGCCGCTCTCTCTCTCTCGACACGTCGTCTTCGTCGTCGTCGTCGTTGGTCGTTGCGATGACACACGACGATGAACGATGATGACGTACGTACGAGGCGGCTTGTCGACGAAGCTCGTTCGTCGTGGTCGCGTCGTACAGCGAGAGAGAAGAAGAAGAAGAAAAGAAGAAGAGCTTTCAAGGCCGAAGAGAGTCACCATCGTGTACGATGATGCCTTTCTTTGGCCTTTTTTCTTTTGATTTTTTTCGTGGCAATGCGTACGGACTTGTAAAAAAAAAAAAAAAAAAAAAAAAAAAAGGCAAAAGAACGCGGAGAAGTGAGTGGCGGCGGCGGCTCCTCCTTCTCCCTATCGGTCATACCGCTCGCAAGCAATGCGTATGGACTTGTACGAAAAAAGCCCGCCCGCTGGCGTCCGTCATGTCCGCGCGGAGGAGAGGTCTCGAGGCGAGCGAGCGGAGCGATACGTCGGCGCGAGCAATGCGTATGGACTTGTGCTTTTTTTTTTAGTGTAACGGGGTCCACGACGGGCGGCGCGTCGCTGCGAGGACACGCCGGAATGATATCGAGGCGGGGCGCCACGAGAGTGATGCGTATGGACTTGTACGAAACCCCGACGAAAGCGTCTCGCGTACAACCAAGTGGCGGCTGCGCACGAAGCGAATGCGAGGACTTGTATAACCGAGAAGACCACCGGACCGCCGCGACGAGACGCCTCCCGAACTTACAGGGGACCGCTGCAACGACTAGCGACCGCGTGCGCGTGCACGTCCTGGACGTGGTAGTTGGGCAGTGGACGCGTCGGGTCCGCTGCGCGAGCCAGCCGAGGCGCAAGCGATGCGTATGGACTTGGTACGGAGACGATCCTGACGACCGGGCCACGGTCGCGGAGCATAGTGCACGGAGTGAACGTGACCGCAGGCGAGTTTTACCGGGCGAAAAGGGGGCTTGGTGAAAGACGCGAGTGATGCGTATGGACTTGTACGCGGGACGAAGCCCGCCTTGAGCGGCTGCGCGCGGAGCGAGTGCGAGGACTGGGTGCTACCGTAAAGACCACCGACAAGAGGTACAAGGGGACTCGGCGAGAGACGCAAGTGATCCGTAGTACATGGACTTGTGTCAATGCAGCTTGCGGCGATTCGGTTACTTTTCAGTAGGAAGAGAGTGCAAGGACAGCTTTTCCCTCACCAGGTGGTGATCAAGCCGAGACAGTCGGTACGCGAGCGCGGGTAAACGGCGGGAGTAGATCGTGGCTGCTTAATACGACCCGAAGCCGCCTCGAGCTCAACCACTAGTCACGGTACGGTTTAACGAGATTCCCACCGTCCCTATCTCATGATTCGTCGTCGAGCATCGAGCGAGAAATGTGTATGGACTTGGAACGGAGACGATCCTGGCATGCGGGTGCGCATGGTGCGGCGCATGGTGCGCATCGTGCGCAGTGCACGGAGTGAACGACGGCAGGCGATCGTGCTGTAAGAGGTACACGAAGGGGACTTGGCAAGAGACGCGAGTGATGCGTATGGACTTGAAACGACGACGAGTTCCGGTGCACCGCAGGGTTTCGCAGAGCTTTACACCTCCCGGTAGTGATCGAGCCGAGCCGGTCGGGACGCGCGCGCGGGTAAACGGCGGGAGTAGATCATGGCTGCTTAATACGACCCAAAGCTGGCTCGAGCTCAACCACTAGTCACGGTACGGTTTAACGAGATTCCCACTGTCCCTATCTCATGCCCCCTCTTGGGTTGTGACTTTGTCGCAGTGAGGGGGCCTGAGTTCTGTTGGGTGGCAAGCCAGCCACTTGACGGAACCGCTTACAACAACCCGAAAACAAACCAATCATGATGAGCGAGTTCAAACGAGATTATACCCCAGTTGGTAAGGGCACAAACGTGTCTGAATCCAACCCTGGTTCGTATCGGGTGCAAGCCCTGGTCGCCAGTGGCAGCCCCTCGGATTCTGGGGAGGGCAAGAACCGCGAAGTTGTGGGCGTTGGTAGAGGAGCGCGTAGTGAAAGGGGAGGTAAGAACGGGCCCGGGCTGGGGAAGTCTCAGCTTCCTTTTCCTCGGGTTATTGTCCAGAGGGGGCAGGGAGGAAAGGTGGGTCTGTTGGAGATGCAGAGGTTGGAGCGGGAGAGGGAGAGGGCACTGAGGGAGCGGAGACCTAGAAGTGGGGAAACGCCCGCTAAGCTCGATTCGACTGCCATCCGGAGCAGGTCTGACTCCGGGAAGGAGGTCTCCTCGAACCAATTTTCCTCGATGGAATACATCGAGGCGAGTGGCAAGAGGACGATCCCTCCTTCGGATCTGCTTCTCCCGGACTGGCATAAGAACAAAAAGGGCCGTACTAGCGGAGACAAGGGGACGCAGGAGGATGGTGAAGCAGCTGGAAAAAGTGAGACAGGAGAAGGAAAGGATGAAGACTCCACAGTCATTGAAAAGGGAGGGGAAGACAGTAGTGAAGAGGAAGTGGAGGAGGAGGTTGTGGAAAATAAGGGGGGAGATGGAAATCAAGATAAGATTTATAGTGAAGATCGAAGGGTGCAGCAGGTAATGTTGGCGAATGCAAGGAGAAAGGAGGAGAGGATGAGAAGTAGGGAGTTGGAGCTGGCGGAAAGGGAGGTGGACTATCTTGCGAGTATGCACGACATCTCGCAGGATCTTGTACACCACATGGCCCTTGAGACCTCTAAGATCCCTAAAATGGCTGCGGCACAGGTGAGCGTGAGGGTGAGTGCCCTGCAGAAGCTTGTGTCCGGCCTCGTTGCGGAAAACTGCGCCCTGAAAGCGAGACTGGAGGAGAAGGAAAGGGTCGAGGAGCAGTTATGGGCCCAGATGAAGGAGGTGTGCTCGCGAGGGGAGGTCGTTGTGAATCAGCCAGAACCCCGCGTGCAAGAGGAGGAGGAAAGGACCCCAGTGAAAAGGAGTTTTGCGGTCGTGGTGAGAGGAAAGGGCCTGAAGGAGGGAAAGGACGTTCAGAGTAAACTGGAACGTGTGGAGAAGGGCATGGGCTTCAAGGTCAAAGGAGTAAGGAGCTTGAAAGAGGGTAGGGTGCTGGTGGAACTAGCGGATGAGGCGGAGAGAAAGAGTATGCTTGAGGACCGGCGTCTCAGAGAGGCGGGCTTGAGAGTGGAGAAGCCGAAAACTTTTTCACCGCTCGTCCTTATCCGCGCCGTGCCGAAAGGCATGAAAGATGATAAGCTGCTGGATGAGGTGTACATTCGGAACCTGAAGGAAGAGGTTGATGCGGAAGAGATGGAAAGAACAATGAGGGTGAAGTTTAGGATAGGGGCAAGATCCAGGGAGAAGGAAGGAGTTGTGCTGGAGGTGTCGCCGAGGATTCGGCAGGCACTTCTGGGAACGGGCAGCGAGGCTCGGCTGTACATCGGGATGAGGGTGTATTTTGTGGAGGCGTTCGAAAGGGTCTCGCGTTGCTTCGGTTGCTACGGTTTTAACCACCGGGCAGCCGAATGCAAGAGGGGCAAACTCTGCAGCAGGTGTTGCAAAGAAGGACACCTGGCTGCAGATTGCCGCGAGCAGGAGGAGTGCGGGAACTGCAGGGAGAAGAGGAAGGACTGTAGGCACTCCGTGCTCTCACGGACCTGTCCAGAAATGCTGCTGCGCCTAGAAAGATGGAAGGAGAGGGTGAAGGAATGAATGTGATGAAGGTCATGCAGCTCAATTGCCAACGAGCGAGAGCAGTAATGCATGACCTTGGAAAGACCGCGATGGATGATAGTGTGGATGTGTTGCTGTTGCAGGAGCCTTGGGTGTATGAGGATAGAGTGTGTGGGCTGCCTGCATGTATGAGAGTGTTTGAGAGTGTTGGAGCGAAAGCGGCAGTTGTGGTAGTGAATGAGGGTATGGAGGTAATGATGGTGAGTAGGAGTGAAGGGGGGGTGTGTGTATGGATAAAAGGAGAATTTGGAAGTATGTATGTGGCCTCCATGTATATGCGATTGAGAGTGCCAGTAGAGGCAGCGTTGCAGTACATGGAGGGGTGTCTGGATGTTACAGTGAATGATAGAGTGATGATAGGGATGGATGCGAGCGCCTGCTCAGCCCTGTGGCACAGCAAGCCGAGTGGGCGTACGAGAGATAATGTGGAAAGGGGAGCGAAAATTGAGCAATGGATTGAGGAGAAGGGTGTTACGTCCTACGTAACAATAATTTATCAATTTAGATAACTTCATGCAGGTTCCGATATCATTGCTTTGAAAATCACGTCATGAGAAAAGAAAGTTGATGGTTGACGTCATACGACTTCTATTTGTTAATTAATTGTTGCGCGAGTAAATAATACAAATTGAAAGTTACTCCACATCTGATAAAAAGGATGATTACAAGCAACATATCTTACAAATTCAAATTATTACAAAGTGCCGAACTAATGGCTTGACAAAAGATGACAAAGCAAAGATAGCGAGTGACCCCAATTAGTTTTATCTGACAAAAGGTAGAATCACGCGACACATCTCGTGAGATGAGTTATTCCTACCTGCATTGATTTTTAGGATAAATACGCCAGGCCCACAAGGCCTCAGGGCGATTCGTTATCCGATTCTTGTGGTGCGCGGAGCTCACGTTACTCAGCTACGCGATTGTGTCTGATTAAAATTATAAGTCTTTGTTCTCGGTATGAAATAATTTACAACGGATTGATTTTTGTTTGAATTGAGTTTGAGAGTAAAGTAGCGTTATTGAGAGTGCGTAACTAATTGCATCGAGTGAGTGCATTATAAACTATTGGATCCAATACGAGAGATTGAGAAGGATTATCATCATCCGACGGACGAGACGAAGCCAGAGATCGAGCCACGACGAGATCGAGAGTACACAGAGAGCTTCAACAACATAAGCAGAGCAACATCGATATCGAAAGACACACCACAGCGAGTCGTCAATAATTCATTGTATGTTAAAATAATTATTTTTAAGTTAAAGATAATCTGCGAAGATTGTAATAAGAATAAGTTGTAATAAATAGTGATTAGTGTACCCCAAGTTTGTAGACATTGACATTTCATTTACAAAACTCTTCATTCCCCCAGCCAGATTAAAAACATATTTATTATTGTAACAAATACGACGTTACAAACCCTTTGATTTTGAGGTTATGAAAAGTGTTTTTCGCCTATATCTTCGTCAATATTCAAGATATCAGGGCAGAATGACTGAATATAGATAGCGCGCATTCGCGCGAATCCTCTGAGCTGTCGAGCGCTTGATTCTGTCAAGAACTCAGAAAATTATAAGTGGAAAACA